TTTCATTTGGATATTTCGACCTGTTTATTCGGTCATTTTCAACATACTAACAACAAAAAACAGCAACATAACCTATACATGGCTCTTTGTTTTCTCTGACATGGATGGAAACATGTGATACATTCCACAGATCGAAAGAAGAAAAACACAGAAAAGCAAGACCCCTATTTTTATAATCTCAATTTTTCAATGGTTTTAGCTTAAAATACTATAATGGAATTTAGTTTCTGGATACGTCTGTGGATGTAGAAATGACGTTTTAACAAATTTTGAATAGTAAAGACATATTTTTATTGAACTTGGGACGCGTTTCAGTGGTGTTATTTTAGTCCTTGAACGCGTTTTTAATCTCGAAAGATAACGTTAAAAAGCGTTAGTTAATTCCAAACACGTGTTATGAGAATTTAGTGTGTAATTTTAATATATTGTAATACGTCTAAACCTTTATAAAAAAAAATTCTGACACGCCTAAACGCGTTTATTGTTTGCATGCAGAAGCAACCTGCGTCCCGCCCCCCTGGTTTTTCAACGGTCAGGTTTTCCAGAAGCTCTATTATCAACTTTTCTTATGCAAGGCCAATATGCGCCTAATCTGATAGAAAAATCTTCGGGCTATTCGAAACATTATTCAGATTGGTTCCAGCTTTTACTAAAACCTCAAAAACAAGAGACTTTTTGTGATTATGACACACTGTAGTGCTTATAGATAACACACAAAAGGTTCTTTTCCATATCTTTAATGGCTGGGCCGACCTGTCTGAATACTGCGACCAGCTCACATTATAGAGAATTTCTAGGGCTATCCACTGGTTGTATTGGAACAATACATAATTTCCATTATGGCAGAAAAACGACTAACGGAGTGCTGAAAGCACTAGGATACGTCAAAATCATTATATCGGCCAAGTGTTTCAACTGTTGACCCATGTGGACATATTTCTGAAAGATTTATTTATAGCTCATTTTGAAGCTCGTGAAATGCTCTATCGAATGGTATATCTATCGTAGTGGCTAGTTGAGAAACATTGATCATAGGATCCTCATCGTGGAATAAGCCACCCATTTTTCACGGCTTTCCAGACAGTATTTCTAATGTCAAGGGGTCCTAGGACACTTGTTTCACTATTATATATATGAACTTGTAGCGCAAGGAATTGTCTATCGAATGATAAAGCTACCGTAGTCGCTAGTTGAGGAACGTTGATCATAGGATCCTCACCGTAGAATAAGTCACCCGCTTTTCACAGCTTTGCAGAAAGTATTTCCAATGTCAACGGGTCCTAGAACACTTGGTTCACTATCATATATATATGAACTTGCAGCGCGAGAAATTCTCTATCGATTGGTACATCTATCGTAGTGGCTAGATGATAAAGGGTGTCATAGATTATCTTAGACTGTTTGCACATAGGAGATTATTTTCCATAGATGGAAGTATTTCTAAACATACTTGGCCTCAGAACGACTATTTCCGTATATGTGATATACAGAAATATAGTGCAGAAAAAGAGCTTTCGAATGACATATAATAGTTCTACTGAGGTATGAGGTCGAGAGAGACACACTCGAGAATATGATCAATAATACGTGTCAGAAGTGATTCCAGTTAATTGGACTCAATTTTTCCTGAGAGCATTTCCAAGATCTGTCGAGTGGGTAGAAATGTTCTCCTGTTCATTCTGCATCGAACCATGTATGTGTCGATGGGATTCAAGCAAGGGCAGATTCCATCAAATAATCGCCCCCGTCCTTTCCATTTTCACGAGAGAAAGTTTTATTTCTTAGACTACCTGTTGCGGTTTGATCAAATATAGTCATTGGCATTTCTCTATCGTCTGTTTTCTGAAGTTTAACAAGATCATCTGATATTTGTTTAATCAAATTGTTACTGTTGCTTAATATTCCTTTAATCTAATCAACAGATAGACAGTAGAATCTATGATGCATTTTTCAAGATTATCTTACTTTTTTATGTACCATCTGACATGGTTTGTTACGATTATCATTTTGTTCATTTTCATCATAAATGTAGACAGCAATTAATTGCTTTAAATCAAGTATTTGTGATAATAATGCTTCAACATAATGTTGAGAAATAATTAAAATTATTTTATCACCTCTTATTGTTTCAATATGTTGTTGACATTCATCGATATTATCGAACGTTTTAATAAAATTAATTGTACGACGTAGCTCTAACTGTATGCAACAGGTATTTTGAATTGAACTCACATTTGACTGACACCAGATAACTAAATACGGTTCAAAATTACGAGTTTCTGGTATTTTATGACGTGGTTGTATATCAACATTAGTTGTACATTCAGATGAAAATGTTTTTGTTAAACTTTGTTCGTCTTCCATGTTTCAAGACTAAACGAAAAAAAATTAATATCAATCCTATAAATAGTTCTAGCTGATTTCTTGATATCAGAAGCAAATAAAATTCTACAACTTCATCTATAAAATCCTATTGAATTGTGTAAAAAATTCAATAACTGACAGTAAAACTGGAGAAGGGTATTTTCAGATTTCTTTACTTTTTAATAGGGGAAATTGCCAAAATACGGGCTCATTTCATGGTAGGTGCTATCGTTAGATATATATTTGGCTGAAAATGTGAAATTTGTTCTTTCCCCATTCTTGCTTTATATCTATCTTTGTATGTACACGAAAGGAGAAACATCAAAAAGAAAGAAAAATGACGTAAAACAAAAAGAGACTTTCTTTCAAGCTGGATGGCGAAGTAAGTTGGAGTATATCGTTAGAAAGCGCGGACTATCAAGGCGAGACCAACTACTAAAAAACCTCGGACACTCCGACGAGATCTTTGTGCTGTCCGGCTCATATAAAAAAATCACTTGTCATTACACTTGTTAAGTAAAATTTCAACAAATATTATCCCTGACTATCATGGTCGTCAAAAAGAGTTTGATTTAACTGCCGAACATAAAAGAATCTATGATTTTCTTTGCTACAAGTTTCAAATTTATAGCGTTAGCATCGAGTCTGAAACGAATGGATGCTTTTGAGTAGAGCACCAAATGGGATCTTGCCAGAGATACTTTCGGTGGTTGTTTCAGATACCTTTTCAATGGCACTAACTAACGAGGAAAGGCCACCAACTCCCTCCTCGCTTTTGAGCTTAAACTCAGTTGACAATAGGTAATCGAACGTGCTGATTCCGAATATCACAATGGTTTTGCCCGCTTTCGATTTAAAGACCCGTTTTTTAAAGATCTTGGTTTTTCAATCGAAAAACCATTTTCACTAAAAAATTTTCTTGACCTGTCCAAATGAAAGAGCACGTCGTCAAACCAACAGAAAACAATTTTTCAAGATTCTAAGCGAGATTTTGAGCGAGTCTTCTGCGTCTAAAACTTAAAAAAAGAGGGAAAAACTGCTAATATTCTTACACAATTTATAAAAGAAAAACGCTTTTCTTTCTGTTCTGTTTTTTCGCACATGTTATTAGCAATTTGTGATAAAGGTGGCAATAAAGCAGTTCCACAGAGCCATGATTCGTAGAAATATTTGCTGTGTTTTTAATGGAAATGATAACTGGTAAAAAAGTGTTGAAAACACAATTTCTTCGAACATCGAGCACAAGTTATAAAAACTGACTCATCGCAGTCTTTTTCTTCACACTGTATATGAGTTTCCGAACTTGCAAAGCAAACTTGATTAACTCTGACAAATGGAGAAGGATCTTCACGTATTAAGCCACTGGAGAACCTCGCTCAAAATCTCGCTTAGAACCTTGAAAAATTGTTTTCTGTAGGTTTGACGACGTGCTCTTTCATTTGGACAGGTCAAGAAAATTTTTTAGTGAAAATGGTTTTTCGATTGAAAAACCAAGATCTTTAAAAAACGGGTCTTTAAATCGAAAGCGGGCAAAACCATTGTGATATTCGGAATCAGCACGTTCGATTACCTTAGTCACTCAAACTTTATTATCCCTAACATTATCGGATGCTACTTCTTCTACAAATACAAAAGCAACTAATCTATCCTTAAGCGATATATACGATGATATTGCACGTGTATATTTAAGCAAATGTAAGTATAAAGTTGCATTACTTAACTGTGAAAAAGCATTAGAAACAAAACATTTGATGGTTAACGATTTATCATTGGTGAACATACACGAATATACGTTTGATATGTTGCAAGTCCGGTTGTAATACAATTGCAATGAAATACTTTGAGAAAACATTAGAGATATACTCTCAACATTTACCATCTATTTATCCCTCAAAGGCAACGATTTATTTCAATATCGGATTAGTACAAAAAATTAAACAAACCTTAGTAGTGCATTAGACTATTTCAACAAGACACTTAATGTGAGACTTCAATGTGCACCACAACAACATTTAGATACTGTTCGCATATATAATCAAAGAGCAAATTTATGTTGAACAGAATGAATATGAAAGTGCGATAAATATACTTCAACAAGCACTTCATATCTGTTCAGAAACTGGACTATTAAGCCAAACAGTACTCAAGCTTTTAGATGATAACTATTGCTCAATCGGTGAAACGTACTTCCAGATGGGCTATTCCACTGGAACAACATATCAGATGAAGAGGCAAACGCAATTTCAGAAGCCTTGAAGATAAATGCAAGAGTGCATAATAAAAACCTTTTTTATGCAAATGAACGTCTACTTACCATTATTTTACCGTTATGAGTTAACAACGTATGATCTCTGAGTTTAGAATAAAGAAAGAAACTACTCGATATAACGATGGACTGAAACAAAAACAGTTTCTTTTCTCGGATTTTCGTAATTCAGGAATTATGCAATATTCACCTCTTTTAGCCGCAAAGCTTCAGAAGAAAAGAACAGAACGAATTGTCATATGAAATCTTTTTTGCAAGTTACTTATTAGCATAAGGACATGACTAATTCGAAAATATCTCTTGTCAGGTCTTTTCCGTTATCGAGATAAGAGGCATATATTTTTCCTAAAAACTGGCTCTTATTTATTGCTTCAAAGGCAAGATTTTTTGGCGAAATTGATTATTTAGGCAGCTGTAGCTTTGTACTTAGATTCTCTGGCAGTTGTAATTTTATAAAAACGTCTTCCGTGGGCGGCGAGAGCGCGCAAATTTTCCAAATTTTGGACTTTTTCCACTTTTAACCATGTCGGACTTCTGATTTTTTTCACGATTTCTACCAATGAAAAGTAAGCTCGCACCTAGCAACATGTCTCTATACTGTACTCGAGCTACTTATGGTTATTTTATTCATAAAGGTATGATTATAAGTAGCCGGCAGGAAAGGTAGTTATTTTACGGATAATGCCGCCTATCTCGATAACGGAAAAGACCTGACAAGAGATATTTTCGAATTAGTCATGTCCTTATGCTAATAAGTAACTTGCAAAAAAGATTTTTCTTCAACTCGTCTGCAAAAAATCTCCAGCCAAATCTATTTCGACTTCATATGAATTGTTTTCGATATTTTTATCTTTATTAAAGCACATGAAAGTATTCTTTTTTTGAAATATAACAGCTCTATTATATTTATTGATAAGTGAGTGGTATAGGCGAACAAATAACTATCACGAAGATAATGAATACGGTTTCCGAATTCCGATGTATTCAACAAGTTAATTCAACAGTTAATTAAAAGATCTATCTTGTATGTTATCTTTTGTCTCGATATACCATTTCGATAATGGTAGATTTTGTAGATCAAGTAACGTTCGATATTTCCATATTAACCATAGGATACCGATAAATAAACAAAACGTTACTTCGATATAATAAGCATCGATAGTTTGACAGCTCGGACATGGTTTCAATGTTAGATAACTTGCTGAAAAGAGAATTAATGTTTCAGTTAAATGTAGACCTAAATTTGAGATAGTATGTAAGAATGTCAAGTATGTACCACCAATAGTTGAATCACTAATACGTGCATAAAATGCTAACTTTGATACACGCATCGAAGAAACGAATATTTCATTTAAACCCAAAACGAAAATAACTGCTAGATAGTAATAGAACTTCGACGAAGAATTATGAAATAATGGTGTAATGTAAACAATAATAGCAACAAGAATACTTGTAACCATACGTGGTATATACGAATTAATTAGAACATTCAATGGCTGAGTACCGGATGTTAAATGACTTACGCTAAATGGTACTAAAATTTTAATAATAATTAATGGCGCTGTTAATAGAGCAAATGTTTCTTTCTCTAAACCATTTTGAATTAATTTTATATTTGTCATTGAATATGTTGCACCAAATCCCCATAGATATGTTAAACTAATGAATGCTAACTGACGAAACCATGATTTATCCAATAATTTGATTGTAACTACATATGTTTCAAAAATAGTTAAACGCTTCTCTTCTTGATTAATAATTTCATCCTTAAAGAGAACAATCGATAATGTAATAACGATAAATATAATACCCCATATAAAAATGAATGTTGAATATGATACAAAGCCATAATCTTTCATTTCAATTGAAAATAATTTTCTTATGTAATTATTGCTTAAATCTTCTGATTCTAATGTAAGAAAAACAACATTTCCAATAAATAATCCGATTGTTTGTCCAACAATCTGACACGTCGATGACCATCCAACATTTTCTTTTGTTAACATTTTTAATGACCATCCATCAACACAAATATCTTGTGATGCAGTTAAAAAATATAAATAAAGAAAAATAACAGTTAATAGAATATGTTGTCGATCAATTAATAATTGTGAAATATAAAATGATAAAATTATCAATGTTGTACCTATTAACAATTGAATGGGTAATAACCAAGATTTTCGTCGTCCATAATCGATAATAGGTGCCCATAGTAATTTTAAACTAAATGGCCAATAAGCAAATGAAAATATGGCTTGTTGTGACCATGTGGCACCTTTACTTTGTAATATTAACGGAATACTTATTGTAATACCTATAATAACACCTTGTAATAGATACAGAAGTATCAAGAACCAAATAGAATAAATGTCTTGTTTTAACATAGTTATATTGTTATAATGAGTGTGACTAAATAGTATGTAGAAAAACAAAATAATCAAAGAGAAAAATAACTTCTTGATTGCATTAGTTCACATAAGATTAAAATGATCTATCTATTTATTTGTCTCTTTGTATCGAATATCGTCCTTACGTAACTATACAGAAAAAAAGAACTAATAGAGCAGTGCTAGTTTTGTGACCATCGTTCCATATTACAAATGTAAGAATAGTACACTTTGCAAAAAAAAAAGGCAATAAATGAATGACTTTCATCTGTTTCAACCAAATACATTGAATCATTCTATTTCAACACCAACTGTGACCAATGAATAGAAAGAAATAGTCGATGTAGTTTTAATCTATATAGTATATCTTGTTTTACTTGCTTGTAAAGAAAGAATAATTTTGATATAATGACAATGAGAAACAATAATACTAATAGTTATCATTTACACAGAAACCATCAGGTTAATGCATCACAGTTATACGGTATATGGATAGAAAAATCCTTCACAAAATCTTGAAAGATTGATCTATAAGGAGATAGAAGATTGGGATTGAGCGATCTGTAAATATCTGACTTAGGTGATCGCTCACATGCTTATTTCAGAAACATAGGAGCAAACTTAAAAAGGTTGTGATCAGGGATGTCTGCTTTTAGAGAAACGTTTGTCGGTATCTGTTCGAACTCGTTTGTAATGACTGCTGGCTCTGTTTAGGTGAATACAAATGTTTGTCATATCCTACCTAAGCTATTATCAAATTGACGAGGAAACCATTCCAACTGTCCGATCGCTTTTTTCACGAAACCTAATAGACAATAGTTACTAGGGTATGCTAAAGTCGAATATTATAGTGGTTTGGGCGTCTAGGCCTCCACAGACCGGTTTTCCAGAAACTCTAAAAAATAACCAAAACCTTTCTTAATGAGCCATGATTGTAGCCTGCACATACAGCCCTAAGCGTTTATTGTCAGCTGCTACAGAAATAAGAAATTAATTTAGGGCTTTTCTTGTAAATTCTATAACTTTGCAAAGAAACACTGTGTAGAGCTGGGAGATGTCTCATTTTAATCAGAAATATGCGGGCTACAATCATGGCTTATTAAGAAAGAGTTTAGTTATTTTTTTAGAGTTTCTAGAAAACCGGTCTCTAGAGGCCTAGACACCCAGATCGCTATGATATTCGGATTCAGCACACTCGATTAACTATTGTCCACTAGGTTTCGTGGGAAAAGCGATCGGACAGTTGGAGTGGTTTCCTCGTGAGACACACGTGCCACTTTGTTAAACATCAGTGTCCCACTACTTGTTCTAGAGCATACCAAATGGCGTGTTTAAGTTAGACACACTGCTAAAACATCCAAAGTAAATAAAAATATTTCTTTATTCTTTACAAATAATTTTGTATGTATTCAAAATGAATCAGTGTTTCTTTTTCTGCGTAGAAAAATCCGTCTGTCGAGCTTTGCACTTGAGACGAACGTTAGATAACGAAAACATATAGATCTATAAACTACATTTGATGTCATGACTCTGAGATGCGTCTGGGTTTTAACGAGAAATACGTGTATATACAATTGAAGTAAATATTTTGAAAGGAATAAAGTTTTCGGCTCTAATCAAGTGTTAACTATAAACAAAACAGCGATTTATTAAGACCAAAGTCCGAGTTTGGTTCGCAGTCGATGCATATTTTTTTATTTGTTTGTATATCGACGTTCTAGCGACAAAAAAATACTGATCAAAGGTTATTTTCCTTTGTCTGTTAAGTGGAAAAAATAGTTTTCCTTCGCGTACAGCATATAATTGCTCTTTAATTACAGTCACTGATATATTTTTTTTCTTTTCTCGTTCACACGTTGGTATGACATCACTTTATAATAAACATTGTGCAATTCTGGCATAATTTCTCTCTTTTATACAACTAGTAGTCTATGTGAAACCCCAGTAACTGCATTCAACTCATAGAATGACAACAACGCAAAGTAAAAAACGTAAGAATAGTGAGAGTGACAGTGTACCTGCAAAAAAAGCTTATGAAGAGGTTTTAATGCACGTCCCCACGGTTGTTCATTTACGTCGATCTAAAGGAGAAATTATGCAAAACTGTGATACATACATCGGTCGAGCATGCAACATGGGTGGATGGCGACTGAAACAGAGTAAGTGGTACAATCCGTATTCGATACGCAAATACAAACGAGATGATGCCTTAGAACGATATGAATCATATTTGAGATCGAATAGAAAACTGTTTGAAGAGCTACATGAACTCAGCGGAAAAACATTAGGCTGTTGGTGCAAACCAGAGCGTTGTCATGGCGATGTATTGTGTAAATTGTTTGAAGAAAAGTTTTTCAAATCAGCATCAAGAGATTAATGGAACATGCTGTGGCAGTAATATTACCCATAAAAGTTTTTAAGAACAATAAGAAAGAGAGCGAGAAGTGCACGAATAGTGAACAGCGAAAAACTGAATAAGAATAAGAGAAGACGACTGAATGTATATGAGTCAGTTGCAACTTCTTCGTACAATGACATTTTTGAAGTATTTTTGCTACTAACACCGTTGTTATGAATGGATTTTCAAACTTTTTTTTTATTCTCTATCTCAGACCCTAGCCACACTACCATAAAAATTTCGTAACAATATGCTGTCAACTAACCAAGTTACGTGGGTCAAAAGTGAAAAATACCCTTTTTTTCGATGAGTCATCGACCGAAAAATAGATTTTCTAAAGAAAAGAAAGAACGATATCAAAAAAGTAAATAGTACGATTTGTAGAGCTTTCAATTCTCTATCTGATTTCGCCATTCACTTTTGAGTTTGTTTACTTCTGAGTGTCCCTTCAGGTTTAAAGTTCTTTTACACTCAAAGTGTAAGGCCAGTTTAGAACGTACGTAGAGAGCACATAGAAGCAATTTTCGAAAAATCAAGTCGGCCACAAGATAGAGCTTAAAAAATACTACAAAGCCTGCTAATAATCGCTTGCTTTACGAAACTTGAAATTGAACAAAAATTTGAAAAACTCCCTTTTACACGCTAAGTGTAAGACCAGTTTTTCAAAGTTAATTCACTTTTCAGGCTCAAACAACTGAATGTACTGCTGTGAAAGTTTCATAGAACGATGCAGCTCGCAAAACTGAACAAAACTCACACAGCAGTTTCATTAAAGTTCCAGACGTTGTCAGAAATTTTTACATTATACCTCGAAATGTAAGGCCAGTTTTTCTTAGGACTTTTTCGAATGAAACTGCTACTATTATATATCGTTCGACTCCTCACGGAGTCCATGAAACTCTTTTTGAAGCTGTCGAAATCTGTTCAGCGGTATGTCATATATGTGCAAAAAGACCGATTTCGATATATTGCTTAGGCTAAACTCCTTGGAAGAGTAGCCGTAACTCTGCATCTAGTTTATCTCAGCTTCCTGAGGTGTGGTAGTCTGAAAATTTTTACCACAGACTCAGTGAATGATGGGCAACAAAATGCACCTTTTAGATTTTCAATAGGACCGGACCACTTTCATTTTCTTCTATCAATTGTACAAAAAAGTTGCAATTGACTCATACATAGTCGTGTTTTTTTATACTTGAAGATGATTACAGATCGTAATCAAAAGCTTTGGTTTTCTGAAATAAATAATCAATGAATGTTGTGTGCATACAACTGTTATTAAATTCACAGAGCTTTTTTGATAAAATTGTGTTTCTGAGTTAGTTGTTTATGCAACAGATATTTCTCCTTTATTTCGAGTGCTGAAAACTCGGGTTGATCTTAAAATGACGACGAGACTTGTGGTGGATTTTTTTATTTCTGCCTTAGTTTTCGTGAAAATTTTCTGAAAAATTCCGGAACATTCTTTCAACTCATACGATTGTTATTATCTTCACTGAATTATATTACAACAAACATAATTGGGATCCGCCGTGAATTTGTGAGAGAGTACTCTGGGGCTTGAAGGAAAATGCTTATCACACTAAGGTCATACAGGATTATGCCAGAAAATCTTTTAATCAGAAAAGATTAGCTTAGATTCTCTTAACTCTTGACAGCTGTTCTCAATTTTGGACTTCATGGCTACTCGGGGGTCTGGTTGGACCCATACAGAAACGTATGGGAGAAGTTCAAACTTTTTACCATTTGATTGAAGCTTTTCATGCATGGATCAGTGATCTACATCATACTGCTTCTAGATGGATATGTTGATACTGATGCCGGGTATGTAAACGTATATTATATAGAAGACATTTTTGCGATCGAAAAATTGAAAAAACTGGAGGAATAGAAAATTTCAAAACGCGACTTTATTCTCAAAAGCATTCAATTTCGAGGCTCTCCTATTTTGTAGATTCCTCCAGTTTAAATTCTGAACCAATTTTTTTCGGATTCTGCATCAAAAACTCAGTCTAGTAACATTCATTTAAGGAAGTTCAAATATAACAGGGTCACAACCTATTTTATCCCAGAATAAGACCTAAAATTTGCATGGATCATCTGGCAAATGCATCAAGTCTTTTCCAGTAAGATATATAGCCACGATTTTATGCCATTTGAATCGCCATACTGTCAAGAACAAAAGCAAGTTTTGCTTTTTCTTCTATCTTCCTCTGTTACTGAAAAAATTCGTTTTTTCTAAATCAAGAGCGAAGAATCGGAATTCCCTCTATCACTCTCTATTTTCCTATATTACAGTCCTATAGCAGAGTTAGCTGATCAAGTCGTATTTATAAGTTGAGATTCACACAGTTTTTGATGATGATATCACCGATTCAAGACGATGGGACAGCTTCATTAACAAATGTTGTTCACAATAAGATTTCCTGGCGTATGAACGAGACATGTTTCAAAATTCGTTAAACTGGGTTTTTAAATTGAATTTTACGAAATTTTAAAATTTTAAAAACCGTATTATTTAATTTAGACATCCAGTTTATTGAATTTGGAAGAATCCTTCGTTCGTATTTCAGGGAATCTTATTCTGAACAACTTGTGTACCCATACCTTTCCTTGAGAATGCTTCCTTCCAGCGAAATTCTTTGCCTTTTCTCATAATGCAGCGTCTCAGTATTTTCAATTTTAAAGATTGACTTTCACAAATTTAGCGAGAGCAAAGTATTATCCCATAGAAAGAAACATGATAAATAACTTCTACACTCACATTCCCGCTTCAAAAGATGCTTCCCGCAGACAAACTGCGGGCAAGGTCTCAAAGAAGCACACGTTTGGCCCCCACAAATCAATTTCCAATGTCAAATCCGAATTTCTCGCCAAATCTCGTCCGGGAACGACGAAAATTTGTTTACATATACATCCCGATGCGCTCTATCGATTGTTTTCAGAACCGAGGTTTCAAACTAAAAATTAAAAATTTTATTGAAATTTTTAAAAGATGGGCAAAAAAGGCCGAAAAGAATTAGAAATTTCATATTTTTCAAAGCATGCATGATTCAAGGTGCTGAAGTAGGACCATATCAACGACGTGCCTATGAGGTCCACCGGTCTAAAATTTTTATCAGCTCCAATGCGTAAAGAGTGTCCAGAATAATGTCTGGCTCGAAGACCTAAAGATGTTATCAGTTTACGAAGGTTTTTAGAAAATGTTGAACGAGTTAAGGGTGTTTTTAAAGCTCATTAACGGCTGATTTAATAAATGTGGGCGTAAAGCTGATCAAACCCCTAGATAGTCTTGCAGAGCTGTCACTAGAGAAATAGAATGTTGCATTTTGGATAGTCTAATATCAACACCAGTATAATAAGAATCCGTTTTGGAACGCTTCAAATGCAACACGAATTGTGTGATAGACATAGTAACATTACCAAGTGATAAATGTTTCAATGGATGCTACTTACGAACGGTAACTTCGCTTGATCTTAAGAAACCATGAAATAAAACACTAAAAATTACTTTCTGAATAGTTGCAATAGCATCATCAACAGTGGAATAAGATATAGAAAAGTCTCCCTAATCGATAAGGTCATTAATACGAGGCACTGATGGATTTTGGTGCGGAGAACTTAAGTCCCGTAAATTAGACGGGCTTTTCGAGAATACTTGCCAGGAACTAATCCTAACGGATTAATGTAAAAATGTTGGAACGGTGGATACCAGAGCTCCGTATGGACTGGACTAAGTTCATAGTCCAGCCCAGTCCAGTCCATGTGAACTGGACTGGACTCAGATTTTTTGGATTTCATGGACTCGGATTGGACTGGACTCAAACTTTCAAGACCATGGGCTCGTCTGGACTGGAAAAATTTTGGATGGACTTAAATCGAGGAAAAATCGGTAAACGACAAGTTGTTTTTAAAAACGAAGATGAAAAGTAAATATTAAAAATACACTATATAAAAGGTGGCCCAGAAGTCCTGTCTCATTTAATATTTTCTCAAAATTTCGATCAACTTTGATCGTCAAGTCTCAATCCTTTCTTTTAAAAGAAACCTCATTTAATTCTCTAAACAAAACATATTGAACATTTCTTTATATACTATAAGAGTAAAAAAATATAGAGGAAAGACGGGAAAGTTTCACTATCGATTACTTTCAAACCTAAAGCGCAACCAAAAACTATTTATTTTGAACACGGTTCTATGCATCAAAGTGGAATCGAAATGTATTTTCTGGTACTCCAGAATATCAGCTTTCTTTTCTTATATCATAAATTCGCTACAAACCTTTTTTCCTGCCACAAACAAAGATTTTACTAAAAGTAAAAAAAAGAGGGGAAAGTTTGATTTCTTCGCCTTGGCACAGGGAACGAAAGGGGGCTATTCGACTTTCTCTGTTCGGATGAAACAGAAAAACCATTTTACTTCAACATAAACCAGATCTAAAGTCATAATATGTGATTTGGACCAAATCACACAAATTTGCCTAAGTGTCACAAAACTGCGGTTAGAAAATGATGATTTGGGTCAAAATCCCTAAAAGAAAAAAAACCTCCCGCGATCCCTTGAGCCTATGAATTTTAAATATAGCCAGTTGATAGAGCTTATCGAGAACTACAAAATGTCCACTTTCTCTTTTTTCATATCGCAAAATATAAGTGACTGACATTGAAAAACCTGGTTTTTCGGTTTGAAAATAATCTATATCGAAGCTTTCCCGTATTTCCTTTATATTTTTTTATTCTTATAGTATATAAGAAAATGTTCAATATGTTTTGTGTAGAGAACTGAATGAGGCTTCTTTTCGCTGAACTAAAGATATGTTAAAATGCAAGTGGGGACTGTCCTTTTTCGTCCTTGGACTTTCAGACATCCGACCAAGTGACGGGATGCTAGGAATCTGGTCGATATAGTATAAAATCATTTTTCCGGATGTGCGGAATGAAAAGTATGGATGTTCGGAATAGAAAAAGATCGGATATTCGAAAAAAATAGTGAGGGATTGTTCCGATCTTTTTTCATTCCGATCTTCCGAACTTTTTATCCCGAACATCTGGACCTTTTCAAAAAACGGGAACTCAAAACGGACTACTGTGCCGGGTGTCCGTAAGAAAAAGCAACGACGAAAACGACACGGCCATGCAAGTGGTTGTAAAGCAAAATGATAAAAGACACAAGTTTCTCCGCTCTCTTGCTGGAAATCTCTTTCAATCTATGCAGTTCTTCTTATCGTTCACTAAAGTTCTTTCATAGCTACTGCCTATGTTTTGGTAGTGCTATATTTACACTCAATATTGTAAACTTTTCTCTCAAAGCTTTTTTCTCGGCAGCTGTTGACTCCTCACCTCCCACCTAAAGTTGGTTACGTAATACGTTTTCATCAATGACATTCTATTCAAAACATATAATTCTTTTTTTGTCAGGGTAACATTTTGTTCTGAATTGCACTAATATATTGTGATAAAAAATATTTTCTTTCTTCTTGGTGCGTTTGTATTATATGAGGTTATAAAGAGAGAAAACGAAAGAGAGGCTTTGTTTCAGTGCCGATAAGTCAGTGAAATAAAAAATGTCAAGGAACAAGAAAAATGAAGAAAAAAAATCCAGAGAAAATGTTTTTATTATTTCATATAAACATTGTTGACTCATGATCGAGGAAGCGTTGTTCTTTCTTGTTTTTCATTAAAAAAAAAACAAAGTGATCAATCGAACGAACTCAGTGCCCTTGGCTTCTTTGCCTCTCCCGTTTTACGACATTCATCAGAAATATAAAACACGAAATTTTACAAACAAATGAATTATTTATTATTTTTTACTTTTTCTCACGAAGAACATGAAAAGTACCGAACAATTAGAATTTGTCCTTGTTACCATGCCATTTTCTATTGGTCTCAGTGCCGTTATTACGTGGGACGTACCATAACTATTCTGTCAATTTCTAATTCATTGTTTGAACAGCGAGATAATTAGTGATTTTCTGATGAGATAAAAAATAGTTCGTGACGTGTTTAATCTACTTTGTCTCGATGAAAACTGTTTTCTCCTTTGAATCGATGATCATCGTTCGCTGATGTCGCTCTTCATACAATTTATGTCCACCGACCAATAAAATACTTGTAACGACTAACGCTGATCCTAGTAAAACTAGCCAATTTGATTTGTCCTTCATCAGTACATTTTGTAAAATAATTGTAAATACGATATCGAAACTTTGGACAACGGTAACAATCGATGGGTGTTCAAGATTAATCGCTTTTTGAGTTAAAATAAGTGGTATCATCAAAAATATACCAATCATGGAAGCCAATAGTAACTTACACGTGAATATATTTTTCAAGTCAAATGAATTGTCGGTTATTCGTTTGTAAACCTGAATTATGAGAACGACGAAAAATGTCAACAATGAACCATGAAACATAATTATGCTTGGCTTTATCTTGTATGTTAACAATTTCTTATTCAATACAATGCTCATTGATATTAAAATAGCACATAAAAGAGCAATTAATAAGCCAAACATCCGATCATATCTTTCGTCGGTCTTATTTTCCAAAGTACCATTTGTAGCGTTGAGATATGTTTTTGAAAAAAAAAAACTTGGCTGTGAAACACAAATGACACCCGTTAGTGTTAATATGATAGCCATGACGATTGGAATCGATAATTTCTCATGAAAAATAATCATGGCTATAATTACCGTCCATATAACTTGGGTGTAACGTACCGTTGTCAAATCTGGTAACGGTAACATTTTAAAACTAAGAAAATAGAGTAGTGTTCCAGCCATTGTGACAGAAGCGCGAAGGAATGCAATAGCTACTACTTTTTTGTTTTCAATAAATGGACTATAACGTCTGTGAGAGATGAACACCAGTAAAATGATCGTTTGAGAGAGAAATCGAAATAATATTGCATCGAATACATCAACAGCCGATTGTTTCAACATAAAAGATAAGGATGAAAACAAACAAGTGCCCATTAATGCATAGAATATACCACGAAAACGTTGACAAACTTGAATAATTTTGCCTTTACCATTGTTAGTTTTATCGACATAAAGCAACGATGATCCTCCATGATATTCAACATCTTCATGTTCATTTTCGCCAAAAATCGGCTGAATTATCGGTTCACTAATATGATGAACGTTGACTACTGACGGAGGGTGATCGCCTATTATTGTTGTTGCAGTATTTGTCAGTCGTTGTGGGAAATATCCTGGATAATCGCCAGGATAGGTGAATGATCGTAGGTTTTCTTTGCATGTACTGTTATCGTCATAATTACTCGAGTTACACAATTGAGCAGTAGTTCTTTGCTTTTGACGAGACATGATATTGTTCGATAAATATTTTACAATACAAAGGTGCAAGAAGAACAACTACTGTATAAATGTAAGAACAGAAAAGATCACTGTAATAAAAATTTATTGGCTCGACATTAAATTCGAAAAACACATCCACTAAATAGAGTGCAACAATAGTGAGTGATTCTACTTCACTGCTAAAATTTGATTTGTTCCGCTATGTAGTCGTGCAAACTAGCTGTACTCTTTAGAAAAGAAAGAACGCTTTTACGATTGACGAAACATACTGTCCCATGGGCATGGCGAGAGAAAAAGCAGGAGGGGTGTAAATCTATTTGAGAGAAAACCATAGAACACAACATCATCTATCATCATAATTTCAACACAATAACTAAATGATAATGTTGATGTCAATTTGAGCTTTTTTTCTCATTGAAGAAAACTGGGAGAAAAATTTTGCTCTCAACTATTTTCGGAGATAACATGGAAGAAAGTATGTGTTTGTTAAATTTTGATTAGATTAGTTACTAAATCTGGGCAAGAGCTGAGACGAAATTCTTCGGGTAAAAGGACAATTACTTCTCTTACACCATATCTGTCAGTTTACTACAAGCAACCTTGACTGATTATAGTTAATATTTATTTTGAATTCCTTGTAACCTGCAATGTTTGAGCCAGTAGGAATCTTCAGCAATACTAATAAATCGACGGTAGTCTATAGATTCCACTTGCTTATGAGTAGCAGACGTTTCTTTCGAATCATTCACGTCTCGCTTGTGCAAATGGAATTTCCAGCATTGATCGTTGGTTGAAACGGCCGCAGCTGTCTAAGCTTCGATAAATGTCTTAGCTGAATTGTATATAGGCTTTTCTTCACTCAAAAAACGCTCTCATAAATGCACATTTGGATAATACTGTAGTCTATAAGATAACAGAAAGTATATAATTAAGTATAACAGCTCCATAATTGTAAGTTATTTATCAACTTTTAGCATAAAAAAACTGTACCCGTTTTTTGTGCACAAAATCCATTATTTTCATTTGATTTGAGCCATAAAACAAGTGTCAGGCACTGGCGCCATTATATCTCTACAGCGACATTCATCTTGACACCATTTCGTAGCTGCAAGATTTCTTAGTAACGAAACGGCGTGGAGAGCTCAGGTTGGTCTTAAATTGAAGCTAACAGCCTTGGATAGGAATTAAGAGCTCAACTTTTAAAATTTGGTCTAGGCTTGTGATTAGAGATACATCTTAGTACAAGTTAATGAGGCTTTTTTGAATTTTTGACTTTTGCCACCTATCAGAGAAGGTAAAATATCAAAAATCGGGCTCTATTAGCCTCTAGTCTCACGTGTTTCGTCATCTTTAAGACCCTTCTGAGCTCTCCCACGACGTTTCGTCACCGAAAAATTTTGCAGTTACGAGCACTTCCATTTTGAACTCTAACTGAACGACATTTCTGAATCGTTAACAGATGGCGTAGTCAAATTTTTACCAGAAGTGTGCAATCATAAGGTTAGCATTCCCTAAAAGTTTGACTGAGATCTAACTTATGGTTACTGAGATGCGAACGAGGGAGAACCTTAACTGTAGTCGATCCTGCCTGTTAGGGATCGTCAATTAACACTTGTACTATATCCGAATGTCTATAAAATATTTCTTTTTGGTACTTGTTTATGGAAAAATATCAGCGAACAAAATCTTGAACAATATTATGTTTTGTGAAAAAACCTACATTAAAGGCACAACTATGACAGAACTATCAATTGATAATAAACGAGACAATGAATTAGAATTAAGTACAAGACAAATAAATGTAATATTACAACGTATAGATAATTTACAACAACGATAAATAATTGCTCAAAAGTTATCATCTACTGAATTCGTTAGATATCCAGCAATAGTTCTCATATCTAATCAACAAAATAGGTTGTCAAAATACGATATCAAAAATGAAATAGTATCGACGCGTTTGTTTGTTGTTTTACCAATTATTTCAGTATTTATTTTTGTTTTAAGGTGGAAAAAATGCAGACTTTCAGTGGAATTTCTTTTTCGTAGATTTGCGGCTTCTGTTTCTATTGCCTCTTCTTCTTCTGTTTTTTTCTCAGGTTCCTCGTCCTCGTCAGATTCGGCATTTGACAATTGTTTCTCTCTCATTGCGCTCAAGTGAGCCTGAAGAGGTGTCTTACGAATCATAATGACTGTTTGCTAGCGAGAGTCTGAGGATCGACCTTCGATATCGGTTTATTTTTTGTGTTACCGGGATGATGACACCAGTAGGAAAATGCGGAGATAATAATGTACACTTGAGAGAGAAAGAGAGATGTATAGTATGATGATGTTTGTCGGATAAATCAAAAAACACAATTTTTTTTTTTGATTATGCTTTATTGCTATACTCGGAAGCGCTTGCAAACAAAAAGAACCAAAGAAAAAAGATATAGTTGAATCCATTACAACATTTTAGTTAATCATCAGAATATGTACCTTCTGTTGAAAAACAAAAACTGCTCGAATATTGCATTGTGTGCACCTTACATAAAATTAATCAAATATAAAAAAAAAAAACACTTTCTTTTCTCACCAGCAGAGGACATCATTAACATATGTAGTAGAACGGTTTACAGGGATAAATTTAGGCAAAAATAAACACGAGGGAACAGCAAGGAAAAGAAAAAATTTATGTTTATCCAATAAAGTTCAGCCATTTCAGCAGTAATGATTCATGTTTTTCAATTTTATTTTTTACTCGTTTTTGCTGAAAAAAGTGGCCCATTCCATCTTTTTTTCGCTTTTTAAAATTGTTTCAATAAAAAACATCATTATAGAAAAGTGAGAAAACGAGGTCAGATTTATAACTTACATACTATCCAGCTTTTTCTTTAAATATTTTTTTACATAAAACATTAGATCATTTTCTTTTGTCAATGAGAATAGATTTTTACTGGAAACAAAATGGCATCGGTGAATAAGGCGAATACCGACTCTGATTTTTCTAAGAAAGAAATCTTTCTGTGACTGAGGGAGAAAAAGAAAAAACGGAAACATCCAAGCGAAATACGGAAATGAGTATGCAAAGAAACAAAGCCGCAGTACATCAGTGGACACTTCCCGGTTATTTTTTAACCACTTGAGTTTCCCATAGGATCTTTGTACATTTTCTACACAATTGCTTACGTATTAAATTATCCCAGTGATAATTTCTCTGTCCAAGTGAAACCTAAATACGTGAAGGCTTTAACTTGTTCTAATCGTTTATCATTCATGAAAATATTTATGTGAGGACGTGTGACCTGTGTGTGAAAAAGTTGTATTACTGTTTTTGCGACATTTATTGGCTGTTTCCAACGTTTGGAATAGTGCGCTAACTCATTACACAGTTTTGTTCCTTCTTTTTCTAAATATTCTAACATTGGTTTTAATTTCTTATTTATCAGTGGAGTTATTAAGATATTCAGATCATCGGCAAAAACATGTCCTGCATGCGCGACTGTACAAGAGATCAGATCGCTATGAAAAACAATGAATAGAAACGGACTCAAACTACTGCCCTGTGGCAACTCTATGTATAAATAAAAAGCCTTAGATCTCATATCGCCTAAGATAACATACGCTTTTCTATCGCTTAACCAGGAATGAACAATTTTTAACAGCCCTAATGGCATTCCTAACCTAAATAGTTTTACAATAAGAGCCATATGCCATACATTGTCATAGGCTTTTTGATAATCCACGTATATAGCTAACGTGGGAATATTACCAGCGAAATTATTCTCGACTTCTTGAAATATTGATAATACTCGAGTAAGCAGTAAACAGTTCGGCCTAAAACCTGATTGTTTGTCCGGAATAATGTGATCTGCATCTGCCCAATTTTTCACTCTTTCTAAACATGATCTTCTAAAAAATTTTTGAATGTGTAGCTAACAAAAATATCGGCCGAGTCTGATCACATGTAGGTGTTCCTGCTTTTAATTTTATTTAGTATAACGATTTTTTATAACGGCTATTTTCCAACCATCTGGATATCTACATTCTCTCAACCAAGTATTAAAACACGAATTTAAACCTTCAATGTAAGTAGGTGGGAGAAGCTTGATCATATAGTTTGAAACCGAGTCTAATCCCGATGATTTTTTTAGTTTGAACTTTTTCATGAGTCTACTTATTTCATTTATACTAGTAGATAAAACTCCATTACAATTTACCAATAATTTATTGATAATTTCAAAATACTCGTTTTCCATTTCGAAATCATGCGGATCCGTTGGATCCAGAGCCGGTGGCTTAAACTAATTCTCGTAGTACTTATACAGTTCCTCTCTTATTTGTTGACCATTGGTAATTATTTTATTTTTTACTATTAACTTAGAAAAAGGTAATGCTTTTGCCCTATATATTCCTGACAGAAATGTCCAAAAAACGTTATCTTGATTAACATACTTATTTTGTATTGAAGATAAAAAACTATTCCATCTATATGACTTATTTCTCGCTACTTCTACTTTTATTTCTCTATTCATCACTCTAAGCATCACTCTTAATTCTTCTGTACCTAAACTAGGTTTTTTCTTACGATAATACATATTTCTTACTCTCCTTAATTCTTTCAATTTTACTAATATATAGCTCGGTAGAGATGGCCTATACTTTTCTTAATCTCTAAGGAGTACTTGTCCTTTTTTAACACTTTGTAAATAAGACATAGTTGATAAACATCGAACATGTCATATCTTACAATATTTGAATTCTCATCATTTTTCTGGTAAAAGGGAGCCCACCCGAGCTCAGCTAATTATGCTATAGCACAGGAGCCCGGCTGACTCAGGGGCCCAATCGAACGGCTTAAGCCTTGCATTTTGTTATTATTAAGAAAAATACAAATTGATGTGTTGAAAACGTTAATGATCAGCACAGGGGCCACAAATTTCTTAAAACAGCTCTGTTGGTGGGAGAAAAAAGCATACCTACACATTCCTTTATGTTTAGTGAAGTTATCCAATCTACTGACCATTTAT